TCATGTTGATTGTGGCTGGTCATTATACAAGTGCATACAGTTGTCAAAACTCGGACTCTACATAAAATTGGATGCATTTTGTGTTGTATACAAGATGTACCTCAAATCTGGTTTGTTTGGTTTTTTTTTAAGTAAAAGAAACTGAAAACTCTAAAAACAGAATTTAGGCCACTTTGGATCACAGCTAGAAAAATGTGTGAACTTCACTTCTTAGGGATTTTAACTATTCTAAATGATTATTGACTACAGAGGAGTAGCAGAATATCATTCCCTGCAATCTTGCTCACTTTCCACATTTTGATTATGAGGGGAGAGGGCATCAAAGTAGGAGGAAACTGTGATTGAAACAGCTTGGATCAGATATCATCTTGTCACCACCATCATGCATCCCAGTCCAGTCGGCTGCTGAGTTCTCTGTAACTGGCTGAGGAGAGAGCTTGCTATGTGAAGTCTGATGCACTTTTTGAAACCGTGTCGTATTAGTGAAAGAGGACTGAAATCCTAACGTTTCGTGGACCAGTTCTTTGGTTGAAAAACAGTTGAAAATATAAGAAAATAACAGTAAACTTAAGTGAGAGACACTTGGCTGTTGTAAATAGACTTGATAAAGCAGGCAAATACTATGGCATATGTAGCCATAGTATTTGAATTAGAGCAAGGTTTTTGAATATTATTTCTCATGATACTGTTGCACATATGATCAAGAGATGCAACAGGCGTGGAGAATTCACCTAGATTCAGAGCTGTATAATGATCATACCTGAGACTACTAAGCTAGAAGGAGATTTTCGTTTCATTTCTTTCTTGACCGTGACTAGCACATTTACAGAGAACTTAGATGGGGGCTTCATTAACACACTGGTCTTTTAAAACTTATTTTTTAGTGAGAACTAAAATTTTAATAAGCCGGAATTACAGGCCATGTCTCCAGAATACGACATCCAGTTCCAAAAAAGAGAGAGATACATAGCAGTCTAGGATGGGGAAACTGTTTTGTAGGAGCAGGGCAGGAACAGCAGCTCTGTAGGGTTGTAACTGAAAGTAATTTTAATAGGAGTCAGTACAGTGACTCTGGCTGCCATAATAATCACAATAATGGCTGATAAAATGTTTTTAACCCACCATAAGGAAGGTGAAGGTGAATCTGATTTTTGTTTTGTTTTAGATTCCACATATAAGTGTGATCACGTGGTATTTGTATTTCTCTGACTTATTTGATGATGTGTAATGCTCTCGGGGTCCATACATGTTGTTGCCAGTAGTAGGATATCCTTTTTTGTGGCCACCTAATATTTGTGTGTGTGAGTGACATTTTCTTTATCATTCGTGAGCACTATTATTCTTAATAATACTGCAGTAAACATGAGGATGCAGATGTCTCTTTAAGATCCTGATTTAAGTTCTTTTGGATATACATCCAGAAGTGGGATTGCTGGATCATATGATAATCCTGTTTTTAAGTTTTTTGAGGAACTTACACACTATTTTCCATAGTGGCTGCACCAGTTGTGTTCCCTTCATCAGTGCACAGGAGTTCCTGTTTTTCTACATTCTTGCCACCGCTTGCTATTTCTTGTCTTTTTGATAATAGCCATGCTAACAGGTGTGGGGCAGTATCTCATCGTGGTTTTGATTTGCATTACTCCGATACATAGAGATGCTGGACACCTTTTGGCCATCCATATGTGTTCTTTGGGAAAATGTCTGTGTTTAAATCAGATTGTTTGGGTGTTTTTGCTAGTGAGTTGTACATGTTCTTTGTATTTTGGGGATATGTCCTTATTAGATATATGATTTGCAAATATTTTCTCCATTTGGTAGGTTGCCTTTTCATTTTGTTGGTAGTTTGTGTCCTTTGCTGTGCAGAAGCTTTTTAAGTTCTATATAGTCCCACTTATTTTTGCTTTTGTTGCCTTTGCTTTTGGTATCAAATCCAAAAAAATGACTACCAAAACCATTGTCAAAGAGCTTGCTAGCTGTGTTTTTTTCCTAGGAGTTTCATGTTTTACGTTCAAGGAGAAAATGAAGATGAGAGTCACTCTAGTTTATGTTCATCAGATCAAATCTTAGAGTATTGTATTTACTCTTGGGGCATCATATTAAGCTATAAAAAGAATGTTAGAAAACTGATTCTTGGATAATAACTTAAAAGAAGTAGAAAGAACAAATTTTACTAGACGATTGCCCAGCTTTCAGATTAAATGATTCTGTATGCGGATACTTCTTTTTTCAAGGAAAGAAACTCCTAAGAGAAGCCTTTCGAAAGGATATGATATTCATTTGGTTTATAGAATGCTTTTTCTTTCCTGCTGCTTTTATAAACCTGTAAGGTTCTCTTTAACATCTTAGAAAAGTTAAGAAGGACCTCCAGTTTAATTCCCCTAAATAATAGATACACTTCTGTGTCATCTGTAGTAAAGTTAATTTCTTCTTGTTCCCTTCCCTACCCTCAACCAGTTATTTTTCCTTTGTCAGCTTTCATTATAACTGACTGGTGCTTAGAAAATGATGTTTTAGGGGTGCCTGGGTGGCTCAGTGGGTTAAGCCTCTGCCTTCGGCTCAGGTCATGATCTCAGGGTCCTGGGATCGAGCCCCACATCGGGCTCTCTGCTCAGCAGGGAGCCTGCTTCCCCCTCTCTCTATGCCTGCCTCTCTGCCTGCTTGTGATCTCTGTCTGTCAAATAAATAAATAAAATCTTTAAAAAAAAAGAAAATGATGTTTTAGTGTCAGCCTTTATAGAATTATACAGGGTAGTAATTACGCTGGAACATTATATTATGTACAGATACGGGGTATGATACTCATTCCATTTTCCCATCTAGGGAATTTAAGTACCTTTTCTTTTGAACCATCCATTATATAGATCTGGATTTCTGCTTTTTCACTGCTTTTCTTACAGAGGTGTTACAAAAAGAGAATTAAGTGAAATAAAAGAAAAGTAGTTTATAAACAATAAAGGATTACACAAGAATAAGGTGGCGCTGTTCCAAGTTACAGCTATATACAACTTTAGTCTGTAATAGATTTATGCTGTCCAGCTTCTACTAAGGTTATATCACTAGCTCAGTAATCATATCTTGCTAATTATCTAGTATTTTCCTGGTCAGAACATTTTTCTCCTCAACCCTCTAGTTAATTGCTATCTACCTTACTCTTGGCTATATTTCTTTGTATCAGATTTGCTGAAAAGATTGACACCATCAAGAACACCTTTATCTTCCCGTATAACTTCATCATGCCTCAACTATTCATATCTACCACCCATTTGTTGCTGTTTTTAATTTCATAGGAGACAGAATCTCTATTCAAAAACCAATACCTGTTCCATGCACTAAAGACCAGATCTCTGACCAAAGCACTGAGCTCCACCACTGAATACCGGGACCACTTGTTCCCCTTTCTTTCTAATGGAGATCGGGACAGGGTCTCCCCAACTTGAAAAAGCTTGTGATTGAGGCCCCTGTTTCTCGGTCTGTGCCATTCTGTGTCACTACAGAACTTTTTAAGTACATGAAACCTATAACTGATACCATATATTCTTCCAACTTCGGAGAGACCATGTGATGTAGTGTGGGACAAGACTGGGCTTAAGAAGTCATGGCAACAGTGGTAAATGCTGTGGAGGACGTGAATAGTGATGTAGGAGAGTAATTGGAGGAGAAGGGGTTCCTTTGTATCAATAGTCATTTGAAATGAAAATTTTATCTGAGAAGAAAGTTTTAAAACCTTGATCTTTGGGAGAATGGGAACTTTACATGAAGATGAGAAAGCATAAATAAAGCTTAATTATTATGATTCTTCAATTTTTAAGTGTTCATTATATAATTTTGATTATATACCATTTGAACTTTAAAGTGTCATTTTAAAGCAAAATTTATTTCCTAATGGTCATTGTCAAATTTTAGATGTCTCATACATCTGTCCTTTCCAGTATTAAATGAAGAAAAATTACTTTGACTAGGATATTATATGCACTTCATTGTAGTTGATTCAACAGACATGTTGAATACTTAACCACATGCCAGGCACTGTGCTAGGTGGAGATTAAACAAAAAACTAGGCACAGCTCTTACCCTTAGTGAACTCAACTAAAGCAGTTTTTAGGGATAACATACATAATTTAAACTTATCATTGACTTTAAGATAGATCACTCTGGACATTATGTAATGTAGCAGGTTTGCTCCTCACTATTTCTGTTCGCATGTTTTGAAAATTTATGTTACTCTGCAATATTTAATTTTTTCTTATTCTACTCTCTTTTTAGACTAATTAACAACAGAGTTATTTACTGTGGCCATTAGTAACTAATTGTAAGACTAATTGAATGATTACCATGTGTGGTAAAAGCTCCTCCATATTTTTAAGAAGTTATTTTAAGAATGTATAATTACTACCTTTAAAATTATCAATCAGATTTTCATATTCTAGTGGAGTCTATGTTCTGAAAAGAAAATGAACCATAGAGGGGAAAAATACATGAATCAAGCTGATTAAAAATTACGACATAACTCAACAGTGAAAGATCACTTTCAGTTGAGTTAGTCATGGCAAAGCTTCATCCAGGAGTTAGAATGTGTGTTCAGTCTTAAAGGATAGATGTGAATAGGTGGGGAATAGCATGAAAGCTGATTTGGGGTTGGGGTTGGGAGGGGAGCATTGATCGCAGAGGTGGGATTAAATATCAAGGTATATTTAAAGAACATGGATAAATGGGCTTGACGGGAGTGAAAGGTTTGTATTGGTAAATAGTAGGAGATAAAGCAAAGTCTTTTAGTAGAGCACAAGGTTTGGGCTGTACCATAAGAGTAATATGTTCCTGTAACCCTAAATTCATATATAATTTAAGATTTCTTATGTAAAGGGGTTATCACAATGTACAGTTTGCAATTGTGTCATGATTTTGATGAAGTCTTTATTTACACCCCTAAATATGTTCTATAGATTTTGAGGCCAGAGTCTTTACCCCTACTCAGGTTAAAATGATGTTTTGTTTTTCAGTTACTTACACGCCAAGTCAATCATCCACAGAGACCTCAAGAGTAATAGTATCCTTCCTGAAATTTGTCTGCGAAGTTTGAAAACATCCTGACTTTTTCTTCTGCATTTTGTCTTCACATTATGTAAAAACAGTTTTCATGCTAAGTTCAATATAATGTAAAGGGAATTAATGAGCGGGTTTGCATGAGAGCATAGTGAAGCAGGGTACTACAACATGCTTTTGGTTTCTGAACATTGGAGCATTACCAAAAATTCTGCCAAATCTTTCTAATAGTCGGACTCTTAGGATTGTGTGCTTACATTCCGTCAGCACCAACTCGTTTCTTTCAGTGCTCTGATGCTGCTCTGCGGTAGTTGAGATGTACCTGAAGGTTCTTACTTACAATGAGGTGAGAAAACCATAATGTTTTCTTCTTCTTCCATAAACCCAAATCAAGACCCTGTCTGCCAACTGACTTCATTCCAGTGAAGAACCTTTGTAGCTTTCCCAGCAGTGCCAAAAGCGTATCTGGGTCTATGCTACTAAAATCTAGTGGGAAAGTTTCAGGGTTTCCCATAAATGTAGGTAGGAAAGCATCTCACCTCATCCTACCACATTTCTAGCCCTAAAAATCTTAAAAGCAGGTCACATAGGCCAAATAGAACCATATTTTTAAAAATGTATTCATTAACTTTAGAAGGAAATATGAAGTACTGTACTTTTTAAAGGAGTATCAGTTTTACCAAAAAAAAGAAAATCATATTATAGAATTCTAGAAATTAGATCACTTACCTAAAATTTTTATAATGCTTGCTTTGCTAGGAAAATGAGATCTATTGTTTTCCTTTACTTACTACCCCTCAGATATTTTTCTTCATGAAGACCTCACAGTAAAAATAGGTGATTTTGGTCTAGCCACAGTGAAATCTCGATGGAGTGGGTCCCATCAGTTTGAACAGTTGTCTGGATCCATTTTGTGGATGGTAAGAATTGAGGCTATTTCTCCATTAATTAAATTTTTGGACCCTGAGATGCTGCTGAATTACTAGAAGATCTTTGAAGGTTTCAACTGTAGTATTTTCATAATTCCCAGTATTCACAAAAATCAATGTTGATCTTATTTTTTATGTAAATATATTTTAATTTTTTCTTTATCTTTAAAGAGAATTATGAAACCAACTTCATTATATCTCAAACAAGAAAATAATGTATTTTATAAACACTGTTTAAATTTTATCCAGAATTGTCTCCTTAAAATATTTTATGTTCAAAATGTTCTATGTACCGTTTCCAAAATAAAAAAACGAGTGTGCAATTTCAGCAGGTATGATCTGCAGCAATTATTAAGGTTTTTACTAAGAGAACTACTCCTTTTAAGAGAGAGGTGGTTTCACAATCTTATTTAAGCCTCAATTGGAAAGTTACTTCCTTTAGACTAGAAAGAACCTATAATTATGGGGCAGCTGGGAGAGGAAAGACCAAAAAAAAAAAAAAAAAATTTAGCACTGTCAGCCATGTACTGCCCTGCATAGCTCTTTCTTTTTCTTTATTCCTGTTTCTGCTGTGTGGAAAAGAAGGGAATGAAGAGGTCTGTGCAGTTACTTTCAGCAGGCTGCGAAAAGGGCAGGTTATAGGAATCACCCTCTAAGACAGCAGTTCTCAAAAGGGGCCCTAAGACCCTTTTGGAGGTCCCCAAGGTGATCTCTGTGTGAGACCAGATGTTTCTTCATATTCTTCAACTAGAATGACGTATTACAACAGATGGAACGCAGAAGCAAATATGTGACCATAACTGGCTGCTGTTAAACCAGTCAAAGAGAACTGCAGTAGTATTGTTCTCTCTGAACTTTTTTTAGTTTTGAAAACATACTTTTCATTAAAAATGGGTGATGTGTGTTAACATCTAATGGCTGTTGTTTTATTATTTATGAAATTACTAAATATTTTCACAGTTTCCCATTTAAGTTTAAATGTGTTAAATACCCATAGATATCATCCACATAAAAGTTCCTTAGGGTCCTCAGTAATTTTCAAGACTAAAAGAGTTCTGAGACCAAAAAGTTTGAGAACTGCTGCGCTTAGTTAAATATAGAATGTCCCCCAAAGTTGAAACTTTAAATGATTGAATCTGGAAACAGGGAAGCTGCAAGGGCTCTTGAAGCCATGTTTGCATAAATTCCCTGAATCTGTAGCAGTCTCCAAGAGGGGAATTGCAAGATAGACATCTGAACTAGTCAAGTAAAACATAGGGTTAAATTCAGCTATGATTTCTTGTAATAATAAATGGAGTGTAATGCCCAATGCTTATCACATTATGTGCCCTCCTTAATGCCCATCACCCAGCTTGATGAATCATTGAACAGTATATCAAAAACCAACGATGTTCTATACCTTGGCTAATTGAGTTTAAATTAAAAAAAAAACTTAACTGGAGTGAAGGCAAGTAACAAGGTGGAAGGGGTACATTGGACTTAGAGTTAGGAGATCTGTACTCTAGTGCTATGTTTGACTCTCAACCTGTGCATTTTTTAACCTCCTCCACGTCTCTCCATCTTTAATGTTGGTTGGACTAGTGGATTTCTAATACCTTTTTTGTTTCTAAGATTCAGTAATTAGAACTAGCTAGATTTGTTTCTTTAATAAGTTTTAATTGTTTTAGTAAATCATTTTATAAACAAGAGGCTAATTGTTGTAGTCTGGATCTCATGCACCTTTAAGGCACACATCTTGTTACAAGATAGCAGTGTATCACAGGAAGGGCCAGCTGGCAAAGTTTAAGTACTGAAATTGTAAAATCTAAATTTAAGAAGAAACAATCGATACATGTTTTAAAGTGTGTTTATTTTAACTAGTGTGGGAGAGAGGTTCGGTTAAGTCTCCAGATTTGTCCTTTTTCAAAAACCTTAGTTTATAGAGTTAGCAGATTATTATACATAAAGTTGTGTATTTTCTTCTGATTTCTATTTTGTGGATACCTAGGTCAATTGGTTCATCCTTTATTCAAGCAAGCTGAGCTTTAATACAAGAGATTAACCGGTAGTACACTTAACTGTTGGGTTGTACACTCAACTTTTGGGTTGATACTGCCTTCAAAACCAAATATGGAGCATCCGTAGACTAGTAAAGAGCAGTTTGGTCAGAACTAAGGTTATGTAATTATCTGAATTCTTCTCAACCTTTTTTATTTACCTTAGAGGGGAAAGAAATCTTTATGAAAATTTTGACAAATTAAATCACTAAATTAATTGAGGATCAGTCATGCATTTCTTATAAATAGATGACATGCAACTTTTCATCAAGCCATCTACCAACAACAGTAGAGGTAAAACTAAATTTTAAAAAGCCGTTTAGTTCTTTTTATTTATTAAATTTCATTTATTACTCTGTTCCTCTCAAAACTGTGTTCTGGCTTTTAAAATTATTCCTGTATCATAACCAGCCTCTCAGTATTCTAACTTGTTCATCACATCACAGCTGTATGTGGTTTATTTTGTACCTTATTACTAAAAGCAGTCAGCAATAAAATGTTTGACAAAAGTAGACAGTCTTCTCCTTCACCCCCCCGTTCTTCATCAGGATCTCCCATGCATCTTCTGTCAGTGGTTCTCAACCTCAGTTGGACATTAAAATCATCTGGGAGCTATAAAAATCAGCAGTGCTTGGATCCCAACAACAGATGTAATGTTGTTACGTTATTGGGCTGGAATGTAGTCTGGACACTGAGAGGTTAAAGAGCTCGCAGGTGATTGTGATTTGCAGGTGAGGCTGAGCGCCATTGCCTGCCTCGTGAGAGTCTGACCAGTGACCAGGAATCTTGTCCCATGTCCGCTAGCCATTTATGCAGTTAATTCAAGCTTAAGTATCAGGGCTTTCACAGAGCTTTTACTTACAATCTGCAATTTCTCTAGTGAAACAGTTCTTCCAAATGGAACAGTACAGAAGATGCAAGGTGAAAGAACTCTTTTAAATTTATATTTAGCCAACCATTTAATAAGAAATTAAGCAGTAGAGTACAGTGAGTAAAATGTACAAAAAATGTAGCAAATATGGTTTGATCTTTATCTTTGCCCAAGAGGCAAGAGGCCAGGATCTTTATACCAACTTCTAAATCGACCTCCTGTCTCTCGCTTTTGTTAATAATAAAGCGTTCGTGTTGATAATGCCTTTGGAACGAGGAAAGAGGTTTGAGTTGGTCAGTCTTGAAGGTGCCCTGAGACGAGAACCATTGTACCAGTGGGAAAACTTAAATTCTGAGGCCGGCAGTGTAGTGGTAGTGCTACTCCCAAACCCATTAGGACCACAATTCGGTATTTCTTTACTGAATCAGGAATGGGAAACAGGAACTGATTCTTGACAGGGCTAGTCCTGGGACAGATTCAGATATAGCAATTTTTGTGCAGTATTTTGCACAATATTTTGTGACAGTGTTTTGTGCAGAAGGAGGATGGCCGATAAAATTATAAAGTCTTAGTAATTCATATGGAATCTCAGGTAATACTGCCTCTTGCACAGCTCACTGAGCATCTTTTTTCTTAATCATTTTTATTTCTTTGCCCATTAATAAGAGAATGGCCTGCATATTAGATGAATTATCTAATGACAAAAGCATTGTTCTGGGAATTGCAATAATTTGCTTTTCAGTCTTTTTAGTTGAAGAATAAACAAGAATATTTTTCTTCTTGTGTTCTAACAGGCACCAGAAGTGATCCGAATGCAAGATAAAAACCCATATAGCTTTCAGTCAGATGTCTATGCATTTGGGATTGTTCTATATGAATTGATGACCGGACAGTTACCTTATTCAAACATCAACAACAGGGACCAGGTAAACATTTATGGTCTCTTGGGGTTTATTTTACTGTTTGTATAAAGACTGTACTTTGTTTTAGAAGTGTTGAGTCCTGAGTGGACATGAAGGATGGTTATCTTGATCTTTGTTGCAGTCGTGGAAACCTTTGGTGGACTGTTGGCAGTGACAGCATGTAAGGCCTTCCTTGAAATGTCAGTGCCAAGTGTGGTCACACAGTGTAGCTCCTGATGTTCTGACTAGAAACTAGAGCTGCCACCGTGGAGATCACTCCCATCTCTTGACCACACAAACCAGAAGGAAGGGCTCTGCTGTGGCGGCGTCTGGGCTTTGTGCCTTCTGTTGTTGGTTGTGCTGAGCAGGCACTCAGCTGTGCACTTCTTTGTAGCCAGTTCTTTTGAAATTAGTGAGGTTTCTCCTTTTTTGAAAGACTAATGTATCATGCTTTCATTTTTCTATAATGAGGATTCTAATAGGAGGGAATTATTTTTACTTCTTTCTTCCTAAGTTCCTGTTCTCTGTCCTTCCCCAAAGTCCCGAACAGAACCTCATACAGCTCTTTGCCTTTTCCATCCCAGCCACATTCGATTCACCAGGACTTTAACACTGACCAAGAAAAAGGAATTGTCTTTACTGATGTTTATACATTGTACACGTTAGGATTTAAAAAGTGTGTGTGTGTGTGTGTGCGCGCGTGCGTATTTGTAGAGAGATTGAAGCAATTCCACTGTTAATATATTAGAAAACAATGATTGACGATATAAACTGCGGTTAAATAATATTTATATTTTATGCTGTGGGTTGTGTCAGAGTTATGTGGGTAATTTGTTTAAAAATAGAGATACTGGGGCGCCTGGGTGGATCAGTCTGTTAAACATCTGACCGTTGATTTCGGCTCAGGTCATGATCTCAGGATCACGAGATGGAGCCCCACACAGGGCTCCACACTGAACATGGAATCTGCTTGGGATTCTCTCTCTCCCTTTCCATTTGTCCCCACCCACCCCCGCCACCATCTTACCCCTTCCAAGGGCTTGCTCACGTGCATGTGCGCTCTCGCTCTCTCTCTCTCTTTCTCCCTCTTTCTTTCCCTCTTTCAGAAAAAAAATAAAAATGGAGATCCTGGAGCAGATTCTAATTCTATGGAGTAGGATCAAAGTACTTAACATTTTTAATAAGTTTCCCAGGTGATTTTGATATATACCAAAGTTGAGAATCACCAGTTCAAAAAAAAATTTTTTTAAGTGAATTTTTAAAAATATTTTAGTTATTTGACAGAGAGAGAGCAAGCACAAGCAAGGGGAGCAGTAGGGTGAGGGAGAAGGAGAAGCAGGCTCCTCACCGAGCAGGGAGCCCAGTGTGGGGCTTAATCCCAGGACCCTGGGATTATGACTGGGCCGAAGGCAGACACTTAACCAGCTGAGCCACCCAGGCACCCCAAAAGTGTGAATGTTTTATGTGTTTTGTCATAACCTCCTAATCTAATGAAATGATGGTTTTTAATGTATAAATGTGTTACTTCGTTTAAGCAGTGTATGTATTTTGGTCATCAGCTCAACTCTCTTATCTTTTTGGCAATAGCTCTGAGTATCTTCCTTAACGAAGAACTTCAATTATCGTGTAGTTTCAGAGAAGTAATCTCAGTTGTCATGTACTTTGTGTGTATTTACTGAATCACCATATGGCCTCTTACCCAGAGGGTCCTGATTTTATAGTTCAAGAATTTTAAAAATTTTTTTTAAAGATTTTATTTATTTATTTGACAGAGAGAGAAAGCAAGAGAGGGAACACAAGCAGGGAGTGGGAGAGGGAGAAGCAGGCTTCCCATTGAGCAGGGAGCCCAATGTGGGGCTTGATGCCAGGACTCTGGGATTATGACCTGAACCGAAAGCAGACACTTAAGACTGAGCCACCCAGGCGCCTCTCAAGAATTTTTTTTAAATGACTATGTTCTGGGGCACCTGGGTGGCTCAGTTGGTTAAGCATCTGACTTTGGCTCAGGTTATGATCCCAGGGTCCTGGAATCAAGCCCAGCATTCTCCTAGCTCAGAGGGGAGCCTGCTTCTCCCTCTCCTCCCAGCTCTCTGTCACTGTCTCTGTCTCTCTCTCTCAAATAAATGAATAAAATCTTAAAAAAAAATAATAAACAAATAACTATGTTTCTACCCAAGTCAGCACAAAGCTAATTGTTTAGTTTCTTTTTGGTCTTTCTAACCACTACATAGCTTTAGAATGTTGTGTCCTACTTTATAATGTGGAATCCTACTTTTGAGTGTTAAGAAAATCTGTGACCTGGTTCCTAATTACCTGGTATTTTAAACCTACATGAAACTTAGATTCAAGATGGACCAAACTGCTACTAGCTAAGGAACATAATGGAAACTTTGCACCTATTGGACTTGTGACATCCTAGGTAACTGAGATGATTGATTTGATGAAGGTAGTCTGAATAGCAAGGTTGTTTCTTTTTTTTTTTTTTAATTTATTTTTTTTTTTTTAAGATTGTATTTATTTATTTGACAGAGATTACAAGTAGGGAGAGAGCCTGCCAGAGAGAGAGGGAGAAGCAGGCTCCCTGCTGAACAGAGAGCCCGATGCGGGGCTCGATCCCAGGACCCTGGGATCATGACCTGAGCAGAAGGCAGAGGCTTTAACCCACTGAGCAACCCAGGTGCCCCAGCAAGGTTGTTTCTAATTTGCAAGTTTCCTGTGCTCTGCCTTTTATAGTCTCATTAACTCAACCATATAACATCATACCCTGTGCCATGTTTACTTTTCTTTTGCATATTACTTCTTTTTTTTTTTTTTAAGATTTATTTATTTATTTTTAGATTGTGCAAGAGCGTGAACAGGAGAGGAAGGGCAGAGGGGGAGGAAGAGAGAGACTCAAGCAGACTCCCTGCTCACCACAGAGCCTGATTCGGGGCTCAATCCCACGACCCTGAGATCGTGCCCTGAGCCGAAATGAAGTTGGACACTTAACCGACTGAGCTACCCAGGCACCCTGCATATTACTTTTCTATAGGAATCTAGGGAATTTTAGTTTAGTTTTAGTTGATAGAGACTACAAATAAAATTTTATGAATCTAAGATCTGGATGAAATCCAGTGAATATGTTTGTTTTAATGAAATAAAATTATATTATGGAAACAGATATTATTATTTCCAAAATGTGGATAAAAGCATCCTAGAGTTCTACGCTTATCCGCGTCTTGGCATTTTAAGTGCTTTTGTCTTCCATGGGAATATGATAAATGATGTGGCAAGAGCTTACTCTCCATGAGAAAAGTGAGTGAGTGTCCAACAGAAGGGTAAGGCCTTTACTAGTTAATTCTTTCTGGTAATATAGGTAGAGCCTTCTGGAATTTGCCAGTCTGAAGCCACGTTGGGTGTTTGATGAAGAAAAAAGAGGTAGAAGAATGATACACTCTTCCCATCACCCCCAGTCTACTTCATTCCTTCTTAGTCTGCTTTCCTCAAATGGCGCTTTCTGTGGGACTTCCTCTTGGGAATCAGTAACTCTTCAGTGAAGTAATCCCAAGCTTTGCTTCATCTATTCCCCTTGATTTGATTCTTCTCTTTCTTTTACTATGATCTCTGTGGCTCTCAGATTGGACTTCTTTGTGAAAATTTAGGAATATTCTTTTTCATAGGAGATAGGACAACTGTGTCTTTACTTTGCAATGTAGGAGCCATTCCTGTACACGCTCCCCCCACCGTAGTCTGAGATGGCAGCTTTTCCCAGCAAATTTAAAGCAAGACTCTGATTAAGCAGCCCGATGTAAAGAATGACTTTGGACTACTCATGACCTGCATGACCTGGTCACTTTACCTCTTTTGGTGTGTTTTTTTTTTTTTTTTTTTTTTTTTTTTTTTTTTAATAAAAACAAGAAATTCGACTAAAGAATTCCTTATCGTTATAAAAATCAGATTCTTTCCTAAAGCACATCTCTTAGCTCCTCAGGGGATGGCCATCCCTGTGTTACTTTGCAGAATAGCATTGGCTTTTGTTTTCCTTACTCTAGTGCTGAAGTCTGAGAAACTGCTGTCACTTTTTCCCCTCTTGATCCTTCTGTTTCACTCTCTGATCACACTAATCACACTCTTGAGTGCAGCTTCTCCAAGTTGGGATTAGTGATGCACTCATTTGAGCTAGGTGTATTGACACTCTGTCCTCTTTCTTTTCTTGGAGCAGAAGTGCTCTGTCATCTTAGAAAAAAATAACAGATAACTTCTGTCTTATTTTAAGTATATTTCAGTTACCGTTACTGTATAATAAACCACCCAAAATGTAGTGGCTGAAGCAAATTATGAATCTGCAGATTGGGCTGCCGTCAGTAAGGAAGGTTTATTTCTGTGTCACATGGTATCGCCTAGGGTACATTTGTCGGGTGTTAAAGGATCCACTTCCAAAATGACTCATTCACACATCCTACAAGGTGTCGTGCTAGCTGTCCACTGGAAGCTCAGTCAGGGCCAAGGGCTGGGGGCCTCAGTTCTTCCCCACCTGGGCCTTTCTGTGGGGGGTACTTTGTAGAAAGCATGGACTTGGTACAGCCTGGTTGCTAGGTTCTTTTTTTTTTATTTCCCCCCCTGGTGGCTGGGTTCTAAGCATAAGACCTCCGGAAACAAGAGATAGGAAATGATAAGTGTCTTATCAACACACAAGTTATTTTAATAAAAAATTTTCAGGGGCGCCTGGGTGACTCAGGCATTAATCATCTGCCTTCGGCTCAGGTCATAATCCCAGGGTCCTGGGATCCAGCCCCATATCGGGCTCCCTGCTCAGTGGGAGGCTTGCTTCTCCCTCTCCCACTTGTGTACCCCCTGCTTGTGTTCCCTCTCTTGTTGTCTCTCTCTTTCAAATAAATAAATAAAATCTTTAAAAAAATAAAAAAAAACTTTTCAAAACTACTATATAGGAAGCACTGTGGGATATAGAGGGATACAAAGATGAATAAAGCACAGTCCGTGCTGTTAGCTGTTAGTCTGCTGAGGCGGCGCAGGGGGATGAGCAGACGCTGCTCCAGTCACACAGAGGAGGGAAAGAAGGGGCGGAGATGCCGGGAGGGCTGAGTGTGGTTTGAGAAGGAAGGTAATCAGTCCCAGAATTTCAAGTGGAACTACTGTTTTTATTCTGTCTGTGACACTTAAATCTTCTGTACATGAATTATCCAGGTAAGTCTTCCCTTCAAGTTTAAATAATTGCAAAGAATGTGATTTCCTTTGTATTATATTAACATTTCAAAATAAAGCCATTATATCCTTTTCAGTGTATCCAGTGAAATCTAAAAGCCATTCTGACTTGATACCTACCATCACTTGCTTAAAAAATAGATTCATTAATTTTTGGAAGTTTTTCTCTTTGAAGAAACATTTTTAACATTTTTTTTATGCTTTCAAGGCTTTTTCTTACTGACCATTCAAGTCACATCTTTGCAACAAAATATGTATTTACATTTAGAATTTGAAAAAATCTTTTCCTGTGACTTTAGTCTTTCAATATTAATTTTTAAAATTCTGAATTATACTGCTGTTAATAATTATTAACATATAACTGATAAAAATGTAAGTGTTGATATATAGAAACATAGAAGGAAAATTTTACTGGAAATGTGTGTCTTAACGAACAGGGCTTTTCTTTTCAGTTCATTCATACATTTGTGGATAAGTAGGCTTTTGCTAAATGAGGTAGGACTTAGCATCAATTCCTTTCTTTGTTTTTTTTTTTTTTAAGATTTTATTTATTTATTTGTCAGAGAGAGAGAAGGAGAGAGAGCGAGTGAGCACAGGCAGACAGAATGGCAGGCAGAGGCAGAGGGAGAAGCAGGCTCCCCGCCGAGCAAGGAGCCCGATGTGGGACTCAATCCCAGGCTGCTGGGATCATGACCTGAGCCGAAGGCAGCCGCCCAACCAACTGAGCCACCCAGGCGTCCCTTTGTTTTATTTTTAAAGAAGTATGCACTGAGAACTCTTGTTAAAGTAGATACAAAGATGGAAAATTCAGGGGTTTGTTGTACTCATCTGCACAGATCAGTGATCCCCTAGACCACCCTCGGATTCAGCCTTCAGTAAGTCTCAGAACGCCCTCCAAGTTGCCCTCCAGGTTGCTAGTATTTAGAGTTACTGTTCATTACAGCAGCCAAGGGAAGAGGCACAAGGGGAGAATCCAGGAGAGTTCCACATGTGGAGGTCCTAGTTGTCTTCTCCCAGTGCAGCTGTGGATAGCACTGAATTCTCCTGGCGGCTGTGTGTGACAACATGCAAGTGTTGCCAGAGTTATCACCAGGGGTGATAACTAAGTGAGTATCTAAGTTAGATACTCTTAAGTTAGATACTCTAAGTGAGTAAGGCTAAGTGAGTATGGCTGACCACCTCTGTGGCTGACCTTAGTTTTAGCTGATACTGCTTGACTCAGCATCCCTTCTATAAATCAGTTCGATAGCATAGACTGTCTGGCACAGCCTAAGGCCCCCAGGTAAACAAAAGGACTGTTATCAGGCAGGACCTGCCAGAGGCTTAGGGATTACCTCCCACAAGACAAAGGCAGAGGCCTCTCTCTGGGCAAGATTAATTCTTTACCATTCATGTATCACTCCGTTAATTTGAACTAATTTCTGTAATGTACCAAAAATTACATAATAATTTATCAGTAAATTTTACAGTTAGCCGAAAGCACAGAACTGGAAACCAGCTATCTTGCAAAGGAATTTGTCACCCGTTCATTAGAGCCTAGCTAAATACCAATATGTGAAAGTGTTCCGTTGGCACCCCAGCAGTTTTACACCTTGGAACAGTGTGTACTATTGTTAAATTTCATGTGGGTGAGAAGGTGAGCCCTTTATAAGGTAGGAGAAGGGCAGTTCTGACAGGGGCAATGGGAAAGGAGGATAAGCTTTACACCTCCGCTTTAGTGGGGCTCGGGCAAGTCAGCGTATAGGTCAACAACAGTTACTATGGCACCAAACAGGAAATAATATAAAGTTAGGTTATCAGACTTGAATGTTCCTAAAGCTTAGAAGCTCTGCCCCGTCTGTAACAGGGGATCTCTTACTGGCTCTCTCCGCCCAGCCTCTGGTCTGTGCATGTTGGACCTGTTCCCTCTAAGATCAAAATCCCTCTCTCTTTACAGAAGAGTCCCAAGACTCCTAAAGTCTGTCTCTCTCCATTCTCAGAAGAGCCAAAAATTAAGAAAATTAAGAAGTCATGAAAAGTGTACCTCTCTGCACCCAGAGAAGACAAGCCTTTTTACTTTATGAAACAGAAAATTTAATTCCCAAGTGGTTTACTTTCTTTTTTTCAGAGGAGGCTCTGTTTCTCAGACCTATATAACTAAATGCCCCATTTCTTCCTGCCCCTGAACAAACGAATTTTTAAAATACAGTTGCTGAGCGCCTGGGTGGCTCAGTGGGTTAAAGCCTCTGCCTTTGGCTCGGGTCATGATCCAGGGGTCCTGGGATCAAGCCCCATATCGGGCTCTCTGCTCGGCGGGAAGCCCGCTTCCTCCTCTCTCTCCCTCTCTCTCTGCCTGCCTCTCTGCCTACTTGTGATCTCTGTCAAATAAATAAAATCTTTAAAAATAAAATAAAATGCAGATGCCAAAACAACTGCTAAAAGGTTAACTTTTTTGGTTCCTGCTACATTTATATAAAGGGCTTAGTGTGATGCCCAGCAAGTACTCAATAAATTACTTTTTAAGTAGAAAAAGAGGTACAATCCAATGTGTCTCATGATTACCCTGGCAATGGAAAATGGATTGTGTAAGGAGAGACTGGAAGCCTGGGGAGCAATTAGGAGACCTTTACAATACTCCACAGGTCTGGAAGATTTCAGCGTACAGCCCATTAAGTATTGGTTCCCTACGATGTGATACATAGGAATCAGAATACTAGCATTGTGTTTCTTAACTTTTTGTTGATGTACAGTGTATATGCAGAAAAATACCCACAAATGCACACAGCTTGCTGAATTATCAATGTTTGTGTGTTTTTCAGCTTATAAATAAGGTTGTATGATTTGGTTTTTTTCTCTTCCCAGATAATTTTTATGGTTGGACGAGGATATCTTTCTCCAGATCTCAGTAAGGTACGGAGTAACTGTCCAAAAGCCATGAAGAGATTGATGGCAGAGTGCCTAAAAAAGAAAAGAGATGAGAGGCCACTCTTTCCCCAAGTAAGAAGCAGCTTTATGTGTTACTTACGAGGACAGACTAATACTCAGATGCAGATTTTTAAATAGTTTCTAGAGGACACAGTTTGTACTTTGTGGATTTGGATTCCATGTGATGATGTGCAGGCAGCAGATAAGTAATCACATAAAGATAATTATATAAAGGTTGAATGGTAGGGTATCTAAAAGCTCAGAACAAAGTATTCAGAAAGACTTTACTTTTGTCTAGCCGTTCTCAAACATTTTGGTCTCATGCCCTTTTACACACTTAGAAGTTATTGAAGGCCCCCAAAGAGCTTTTGTTTCATATAAGTAATAATTGCCATTTTAGAAATTAAAACTGTTTTTAAAATACTTATAAGTTTATTTAAACATAATAAAATCATTACATATTAACTTTTTTTAAAAAAAGAACAGTATTTTCCCAGACAATAGAATTAGTGAAAAGAATGGCATTGTTTTACCTTTTTTGCAAATCTCTGCAAAAAGAAGACATCTGGATTCTCTGCATTCATTATGTTGCAGTGCAATATTTTACATCATTTAACCTCTGAAAACTCTACTTAATACTTGTAAAATAATGACCATAAAAAAGGCAAGTAATACCTTAGTGTAACTATGAAAATAGTTTTTCCACAGACTACACTTTGAGAACTGCGGCCTTAATTCTTCCTGGTGGTAAAACAAACAAATTCCAAGCATCCCTTTAATACCAGGTCTTTTGGAGGAGCCAAAAAGATCTTATATTTTCTGTAAAAAGAAAGGGCACCTATTGGTACTGTCTACCTTTCTCTGATTCTTGGAAAATTACTATTGCTTTTTATCTTTTCATGGTATGAGGCCAAAGCCCTTAAGTTAACAATCTTTCATAAGCCTCAGGAACTGAAACTAAATACCTGAACAAGCTTAGAAAAGTTTGAATTCTATAGATACTGTAATAGAAATTCAATTTTTTATGATGCTCATGAAGTTGTGGATAGCTCTACATAAATGGATCTTGATAAATCAGTACAGCTTGCAGGTGGGAAGAGCTGCCTCTAGTAATTACTCAGCTACCATAATTACTGAGTTGGTCTTTTGTGGACCTTATTAATGCCTTTGAATACCCACTCCGAGCTGGCTCTTTTAGACAGAAGTCACTGCTACAGGAATGAGTGAATCTTTTATTCCTGTCTGAAGAATTAAAGATAGAATTTATAATTTTAACAAGCCTCTCATAGGCTTTCTCAGGGTGGGTAGATACATGTTTTACATATTGGAATTCTAAGTTACTACTACTTTGAGGAAGAGTAGTTTTTTTTAACCCAGAAAACCACTGGCTTAAGACTATCGAAGTAAAAGGACAGGTATTGTTGGCCAATATCAGCAGGACCCTGTACCACATTCTCTTCTTTATAGTCCAGGTACTAAAGTTTCCTGTTTAACCTACTTGATGTACATTAATAATGCAAGTTATATCCAAAAGCCCACTCTTTTTTTTTTTTAAGATTTATTTTTTTAAGTAATCTCTACACCCAACGTGGGGCTCAGACTTACAACCCTGAGATAAGAGTTGCATACTCTACTGACTGAGCCAGCCAGATGCCCCTATAGGCCCACTTTTTACGTGGTATTAAAGGGGTTAAAATGTTCATATTTCTAAATGTATGTAACATTTTATTCTTTGCATGGTGTCAGAAAATGAAATGCATATCTGAATTTTTGAGATTATTGAAGGCTACTCCTTTTAAGTATTATTTTTAATTTTTCATTATAAGATCTCTTTTCACACTGTATACACATTTCACATGCCAAACACAAATTTCAGATGGCTAAAGATTTATATGTAAAAAACTAAACTGAAAAATAGGAAGTCATTTTTACAACCTTGAGGTAAGAAAGGCTTTCCTAATAAGCAGAGACAAAATCCAGAAGTAATAAAGGAAAAGATAGTAAGTGTGACTACATTAAAAGTTTTTTAACTTCTATATAATAAAAATAATATTGTAAGGTAAACACGAAAAATAATTGCAGCATGTATAACAAAATACAAATACTGATATTATCCAAAGGCCTCCTACAAATCAATAAGTAAAAAATAATAATAAATAGAAAAATGAGCAAAGGAATGAACTGGTGATTCACAAAGAAATATAAATGCTGAATAAATTTAGGTTGTTTAAAGTTCTGTGACAGTCCATAAAATGCATAGTAACAGTGAAATACATTTTGATTTTCTCTCTCAGATTGGCAATATCCAGCATTGGGAACAGTGTTGGGAAGTAAGGAAGAGCCCTCCTTATAAATTTTTTAACAGTGTTGTTGGGAATGTAAATTAGTTTGGCCTTTTGAAAGGACATGGTAGAATTCATAAACTTGAAATATATATACTTTTTGCTCTGGCAATTCCACTCCTAAAAATGTATGCTATAGAACCTGCTTCCACAAGTGCTCAGATATGTATGTATATATAAAAGACTTACCATAATAGGAAAAATTAAAGACATAAAGATCAGGATAGCTGTCTAGATGGCATGGATGTTAGTGAGGGGAAAGAAAAGCAACGCAGAAAAATATGTGTAGTATGATACCACTTTAAATGGTGATAAGGGTGGGGATGGGCTCTGTTTTCATATGTGCATGTTTATGCATAGGAAAGGTCCAGAAGAAAGTATAGACTCTTTAACAGTGGTTACCCCTGGAAGGTAGGACTTAAACTTTTTCTGTATTATTTGAATTTTTACTTGTGTGTTATGCTTGTAATTTAAAATGTTTTGTAACATTGCTTCTTTGCCTTATACTAATCATACAGATTACAGTTTAACTGTTTAAAAAGTTTTCATAGCTCAGAAAAATAATAATAGTAATGGCTGCTAAAGTTGTATTGAGTACTTAATATATGCCCGGCATTGTGCCAAGCCTTTTACATGTATGTCTCATGATTGTGAATGTCCATTATCATACTGTTTGCCTTCAAGAGTCATAACCCATTTCTCTGTACCTTAAACTATAAGGAGTTTCTACATTTTGTGTACTGGTGTCTATTTGTAGTTTGCCTGTCTTCTCCACTCTTGGGATTGTCACCTGTCACTTCTCACTCCTGTGTCACTAGCAGCCTGGGTCATTGGGGTCCTACTTTTAATTATGTATGTGGAAGACATTTCCCATTACTAAGTTTCTTAAAGAATGAGTTGCTCTGATGATTCTGTTGTGAAGTCATTAGTGCTTTACTGATAGACACTCCGTCTTCTTCCCCAAAAGCACTGTGGTCTGTGAGAGGCATTTCACTGGTTTAAATTTTTTTATTATTTACTGTTCCAAGGCTGGCAAATGATCTCAAATGTAAACAAAAGCTAACTATAGGTTACTTTCCCCATTCATTTTACAGAGATTAAAGCTCTAAGAGTTTGATCATTTACTTTTCTTTGTAAGGAAAAATACCAGTTATTCAGTATTTTTTTAGACATGTAGGATAATACCAAAGTGTAAGATTTCAGGTGCTTTCTTATAAAGTATGATGAGAATTTTAAAGATTAATACCACCTAGATTTTCATTATACTTTCTTTTTCTCTTTTTTTTTTTTTCTTTTTTTCAGATTCTCGCCTCTATTGAGCTGCTGGCCCGCTCATTGCCAAAAATTCACCGCAGTGCATCAGAACCCTCCTTGAATCGGGCTGGCTTCCAAACAGAGGATTTTAGTCTATATGCTTGTGCTTCTCCAAAAACACCCATCCAGGCAGGGGGATATGGTGCGTTTCCTGTCCACTGAAAGAAATTAAATGAGTGTGCCAGTAGAGGGGAGTAGGGATCAAGGAAATGAAAATATGTTTGCTTATATATTTGCTAAATTGAATAAGATCTTTTTTTAAAAAAGATGAACCAAAGAATGTGTAGGTTTTTAAAAACAGATACAATTATTTCCCAATCTAAAATGTAAACTTAGCATTGGATTTTCAACATCCGTGCATGTTATAAAACGCACGGACCTTGTTAAACATGTGCGGTCCCTCTGGCAGGGGGCTTACGTCCTGTTCCAGATTTGCTTACTGGCTTATTCTAATTTTTAAGCTTCATTTTTAACTTTTCTCATGCATCTTTTGTTATTAGCTATCACATGTCCATCAGGGACTCCCAAAAGCAGCACATCCCTGTGCATGGACTTGCAGGTGGAAGGTGACGGTAGATTAGCCTGTGTTAGGCAAGGCAAGCCAAACATATCTAATTGAAGAAGTCAGTAGGGTTGAATAAGTCACTTTTATTCTAAATATTTTTTTGTAACTTTTTATTATAATGTGGAATATATGGATGTCCCTTATTCCCTCGAAGCAATAGGCTGACTTTCTTTTTATAAGCTGTGGGTGCAGGTAACCAAGGTTACTGGTTACCTGAGGAGTGTCATGTTTGACATGAGTGATATGGTTGAACTTGAGGTTTTTAGTGGGCAAATGTTAAAAATCGAAGTTCCTTGTAAATAATACTTACCCATATATCAAGGATGTCTTACACACATAGAAGTTGAATTTCTTCCAAATGAATTATTTCCTCCTCCCCTACAAAAGCTTCACAGAATTCTGTGAGAAGTTTTGGCTTTGTTTGTTTAGATACCTTTAGTTGCCAAACAACCAGGTAATGGACTTCTTAAAAATTATTATTACTTTAAATTATACTTACCTCTCATGGTGCCTCTTTTAACAATCATGTTATCCATGTGTCATAAAATTTCTGTGCTCCTTCTGTTCTTATTAGGAGTGAAGGCTAGTTTTCTTTTTTTTTTTTTTTTCCTGGTTTTGTTTTTGTAGCCCACAGTATGAAATATTTGGTAGTGCTTTCTAATACTTAAATTTTCTTGTGTAGAAGATGATTGTACTGTGGCAGTCAGTGTATTCTTACTGTGAGCCAGAATCTTACTGGGAATCAGAAATGAAGCAGTATCAGTGTCATCTCGTCAAAGAAATGACCATCTCCACTTCAAAGTTGGTAGCAAAAGCCCAGCCTCTTAGATACATTTTCACTCAGTTTGGAACTGTGGTGATTTTTAAATACAACTGACAGTTTGGGGTTATTCAGGCACACAGACATCTGTGTAAATACCATCCTTAGAGCCAATAAAGAAGAAAATCGGGAAGACCTTAATGATAATTTAGTTTTTAAGTGCCACAGGTAAATTTCTAAAATACTTTATTAATTGGAATGGATGAGATTTCATCCAGGAAAACTTCTCAGTAGGAAGCATGGCATACCTTTCGCCCCTCATTTGAGTAGTTTGAAGTAAGTAATGTCATTCATGTTCTTCAAAATTGATTCGCGCCTTGCAATTAGGCAAGAGTAATGGAAAAGAACCCCTCTCGTGTTTTCAAAATTAAGAATGGGAAAGGCATGAAAGAATGGAACATATTGGAAAACATTAAAGTGCTGGATTTCTAAATCCTCTAGTGATATTAAAGATAGGATTATTAGTAATTACTAAATAGGGTTTTATTTATCACGAACTGAATAGCAAGCGTGTAGCTCACAGAGTGCTTACATTGGTCTGTGGAATGCCGAAAGGTTTGGGCATTTTAAGGCACAAGAGTCAAAGGATCTTTTCCTTGATAGAGCTCTTCTGTAGTTCCCCAGTGTACTCGTTTCACTCAGATTGTCCTTTCTGTGCTTACTCCTCTTTCTCGCCCCCCACCCACACCTCCCCACACTGACCACCGGCCAGCCCCCCCACTGTCTGCATTTGACTCCTTTCCTTCTCCTTTGCCAGAGGGCATTGCTGAGCTCTTAGAACTGCTCAGAAAGTCATTTATGCCATCTCACGTGTTCCGGTGTGCCTCCCGAGGATCACCTAGTAGTTTTCCGGTCAAACTGGGCCCATTGAAAGTGTTGGTGGAAGAACATGAACAGTCTGGCAGGGCGAGATGTTTAGGTAGCGCGGATGCGGAGAAGTAGGGAACATTAGAAGACGCCTGGTAGTCTCCCTTCCTGTTGTTTTTTTATACTGCATTTTAGATATATTCTTCAAATAAAGAAAAACATTTTCTAACCGCATGTAGAGTTAACCTAACTAGATAATTGAGACAGAAGGACGTTCATTCTCTTGTGACTGACCGCTTTTACTCCTAAAACGTCAGCCCCCAGATATTTTTATTAAAGTTGAATTCCTTTTTCAGCAGGAACCTTTTTGTAAAATTTGTTTTACATTTTAGAATTTTTACTGGTCAGTGATGAGGACTACGATTTTTCTTCTTGATTTTAAGTAGTTCGGAATCACAGCATTTAATCAAATGCTTTAGGTTTTTTATTTTCAGATATTAAATATTGTACTAGTCATTGACATACTAAAACATTAGTTAAATTTTCCTCTTTAAATAGTGACCATTTAACACAGCAGCTTAAGTGGCTGTCTCAAGTGAGTTCCTCAATTTAAGGAAATGGGCTGCTTTTTTTTTTTAATATTATGAAATGGGTACTTCATGACTAAAACATTTTGTCAGTTACAGTCTTATTAGATTGAGAATTATTAAGCATTTCTAGAGCACTTTTTTTTTTTTAAGATTTTATTTATTTATTTGACAGACAGATCACAAGTAGGCAGAGAGGCAGAGAGAGAGAGGAGGAAGCAGGCTCCCCACTGAGCAGAGAGCCCGATGCGGGGCTCGATCCCAGGACCCCGGGATCATGACCTGAGCCGAAGGCAGAGGCTTTAACCCACTGAGCCACTCAGGTGCCCCTCTAGAGCACTTTTTAAATTTTACTCAATATTTCATCTCTCCTATGGTAATTTCTCTTAAGAATTTAACAAATCCACTGTGTCTGTGCCAGAATGTTTATCATACTTTCGAAACTTCCTGAAAGGACACCACAAAGAAAGAACGAGACTTACTCTGGTTTCAAATGACTGCCCCCCACATCTAAAATGTTGATTTCTGTGTAAATCGATTTTTCATAGCATATTTTATCCTTAAGAGGTATATAGTAAATTATATGTATTAACAGCCACTGAAATACATTCAATCTGGGAATAAAAGATAATTATGTAGTATCTTAAAACTACTTAATAAAATCCTTAGCTTTCAAATAAACAGATCTTGATATTTGAGGTATCTAAAATCACAGGCCCTTCCCACATGTCCTCTACCTTAATCTTAAATAAAGTCAAATGAAAAATAGAACTTAGGTTATTCTCAACGAGGCAAGTAAAAAAAAAAAAAGTTTCATTTTGGCCTTTGATTTTTCAGGCAGTAATTAAATTAGTAACACCGAGATTTCCAGAGTCACGCAGGGTTCTGCATGTTCCACCTCAAATAAAATTGGGTAGAGGCAGCGTGATAATAGATAATTTTCAGACATGCAAGGAGGAATATTCCCCAAAAGCAGATCCATTACCTGTTATCCCCATCTTTACCTAAATTTCTCCATGATTTCAGGGACATATATAGAAAGAGTTTAATTTTATTCATCTGTAAACTTTTGAGTTCTTTTTGTCTTTTTTTATTCCTGGACCTTCAGTCTGTTTAGGAAGTAAGAACTGATTTCCTTTAGAAGCAGTAGACAATGGTAGGGTGGTCTTCAGGGTTGGCTTTATTGGTGTCTGATTTGGGGTTTCTTGGTAAGAGTTTACACTCTGGGAGGTTGTTTTGTGATTTTTTTTTTTTTAAGGCTAACATTTAAGTTTGTAGAGTAGAACACTACAACAAAGTGAGGAGTGTCTAATTATCATAACTAGTGGGGAACATCTGAAGATTTTTTAAAGTTATTTTTTCGTGTGGTATATAAGATTTAACATAGAATTTTATCACTTTTGATATTCTCAGTTAATAGATTATTAAGATTTTGATATTCTCACTTAACAGAATAGCCATTTTTTAAAATAGATTTCTCAGGAAATCCTATTTTCACATTGGCTTCCTTTAATGAGATTTAGATTCTGCGAGATTCAGCGATTGCTAATTAGAATGTTGAAAATGGCTCTAAAGAAATGTATTAAAACAGTCAAAAAAATAACAACCTTCAAACCATAAGCAAAGGTAGTATAAATGTTTATAGATTTCTAGAGTCTTTGTTAACATAATAGCCCTCTTGGTTTTGTGCTTCATGTTTGGCTTTCCGAGGTCTTAGTAATGTGGCTCTTTTCCATCAATGCCATACTCCCTTCACAGTCTTTTTAATTTTTAAATATGAGAATAATTCTTTTACCTTTCTTTGATCTTTTGACTCACAATACCATGGTTACTTGCTTAGTAGAAGGAATGCTTTAGATAGAAAGAGATAGTATCACTATCTGCATTCCAGTTAGTAGTAATATCCAGAATGGGAAAACAAATGGGTAATTACTGAAAATTATTTAGGGGTGTATTCATTGTTGAGGACCCCCCACCCCTGAACTTGCATTTTAACGGTGTCATTTTCTAGCTGTGAGATACCAGGCAAATTACCTCACCATTCTAAACCCCCAGCTTGCTCCTCCATAAATTAAGAGAAGTAATAGTACCTGCCTTACAGTTACTATGAGGCTTAGATGCGAACATATATAAAGCACTCAGTGAGGCACCTGGCGTGTAGCAGGCATTCAGATAGTCACTAATATAATCAGCCTGCGAACTGAGGGTTCAGTCAGCCTGTCATTAGCAATCTGTTGTTTGTTGGGACACACCAGTGTCCTCTAGTAGTCAGTTGGACTCCACTGGCAGAGAATGGACAGGTCACTCCTAGATGAAAGAGTCTGTTCGTGTCAGTGACTGGACCCCACATCACAGGCTCTTATTACGGAAAATGAATGTTAAGGCCGGCTACATTCTGATAGTTGTCGGTTACCAACCAACCCCCAGAAATCAGCTAGTGTGCATGTAAGGGGAGGAACCAGCCCATAGTCACAAGTAGAAGATGTGAACAAAATGCTGGGTGAAACATAATAGCACAAAGCCCTCAAATTCAGGAAAGTTCAACGACACATACCCCCATGTAATTGTTTGGTGGTTTGAAAGGGGAAATGAACTAGAAAATGGATAGTCTAGATTTTCTTTCCTTCAATCAAATGTGTGATGTGGACAAATCATTTGACCTCTTAATTTTATCTCCTGCAAATAGGGGATAATTCCTGCTTCTTCCTTTCTATTAGTGGCATTAAATAATGGAAATGAGTTGATAACTGGGGGTAGAGTATTCAAATCAACCTTACTATTTTACAATCTGTTTTTGAGAAATTTTGTTCATTGGCATGGTTTTGAGCATAGCATGTAAAATCCAACTGGGAAATTAGCTGCAGACTCGATATTTAATTGATAGAACTGAAGCATATTCTACATATTATAAATTATGTATTTTAGCCATTTTTGCTTTTAAATTAGTGATGGTGTCACTAGATTTGTAATAATAGCGAGTCACCTTTCAGTGAGGTTTCAGTGAGGCTTGTCTAGGTCTCTAGGTTATTTGAGATAACTTTTTTAAAATTAGCTCTTGTCCTCCCCCTACAGGAGAATTTGCAGCCTTCAAGTAGCCACACCATCATGGCAACATCTACTCTTTATTTCTTAAGTCTTGTGTTCGTACAATTTGTTAACATCAAAACACAGTTCTGTTCCTCAAATCTTTTTTTAAAGATACAGAATTTTCAATGCATAAGCTGGTGTGGAACAGAATGGAATTTCCCATCCACCAAAAGAGGGAAGAATGTTTTAGGAACCAGAATTCTCTGCTGCCAGTGTTTCTTCTTCAACACAAATACCACGTGCATACAAGTCTGCCCACTCCCAGGAAGGAAGAGGAGAGAGCCTGAGTTCTGACCTTTTGATGGTCAGGCATGATGGAAAGAAACTGCTGCTACAGCTTGGGAGATTGGCTGTGGAGAGCCTGCCAGTCAGCTCTGCCCTTCTAACCGCCAGATCAGAGTGTGGCTGGTCACCTGACGGGGCAGCTGCAATCGCCAAGCATCGTTCTCTTTCCTGTTCTGGGATTTTGTCGCGGAGCTCTTTTCCCTAGTCACCACCGGTTCATTTCTGAGGGATGGAACAAAAATGCAGCATGGCCTTTCTGTGTGGTGCATGTCCAGTCTTTGACCAATTTCTATCAAGTGAAGCTCTTTTATTTAAATGGGGAATGAGAGGCAAGGAGGAGATACGATTTGGTGTAGAGGAAAAGGGAATGCTGCATCTTTTTCCTGACCTACTGGGTTTCTGGCCTTTGTTTCCTTGCTCACTGAGGGTGTCTGCCTAACCAAGCAGGCTGGAAAGTGCTGGTACACATTGCCTTCCTTTCTCACTGGGTCCAGCAATGAAGACAAGTGTTGGGGATTTTTTTTTTTTCCTCCACAATGTAGCAAGTTCTCAGGAAAATACAGTTGATATCTTCCTCCTAAGCTCTTCCAGTCTTCAAGTACTTACGTGGCTACTTTGTCCAGGGCACAAAATGCCATGGCAGTATCTGATTCAGAGCCTACAAAACTGCTTGATAACAGTTTTGAATGTGTGAGACATTTATGTAATTTAAATGTAAGGTACAAGTCTTAATTTCTGAGTTTTCTTCTATTATATTTTTATTAAAAAGAAAATAATTTTCAGATTTAATTGAATTGGAATAAAAGAATACTTCCCACCAGAATTATATATCCTGGAAAATTGTATTTTTGTTATATAAACAACTTTTAAAGAAAGATCATTATCCTTTTCTCTACCTAAATATGGGGAGTCTTAGCATAATGACAGATATTTATAATTTTTAAATTAATGGTACTTGCTGGATCCACACTAACATCTTTGCTAATATCTCATGTTTTCCTCCAACTTCCTCTACACTACATCCTCCATCCTCTTTCCAGTCTTTTATCTAGAATATGCAACCTAAAATAAAAATGGTGGTGTCTCCATTCATTCTCCTTCTTCCTTTTTTCCCAAGCCTGGTCTTCAAAAGGTTGGGTAATTTGGCAGCTGAGTTCCCAGGTAGAGAATAGAGCAATTTTAGGTGTACTGGGACCGAGGGATGGTGTGTGAAGCCTAACATCAGTTGTTTCTATAGAGAGAGTTGCTGTGGTATTAGAAACATCATTCTTTATCTTTGCGTAAGTGGAAGATAGAACCCAGTCGTAGCTTCCTTTGGCCTTTACTAAAGGGTGGCATAAACTGCAGTAGTAACAAAGTGACTCTGGATGTATTAAAGACAAATACCTCCCTTATCATGAGGCTTAGCATCTCTTGCCAGGATTTAGGAATGTAAATCAAATCAAATGTACTTAGCCCAACCAAGCTATGTAGCCAAGACTGTAAAGAAATTAGGGCCCATAAAATAAATCAGGGAATTAGAAGCTGTTATTTAAAGATTTCAAATTGTAATTGATCCCACCGTCTGTCAGCCTCTTACGCTCACTGCCATTCCATGCTTTTTGCTAAAATACCTGTATTCAGAGGAAGGCCTACTGAAAATTCCAAAGCCCTGGGAAAGGTTGTCCTCGTAAAATGGAAAGTACCCTGAAGTTAATGAGTTTGGAAACCAGTGTGTTCTGAAGTCCCGTGTGAGCAGAGCAGCGTCTTACAAAATTCAGAAATTGCGAAGATTCGTGCTGATTGAGGAGCATCTTGTGTGCTTAATGCTGCTTCTCTTTTAAAAGCATCATTTTTCTTTTTAAATACATCCCCAGACATGCTTTTCAACTGGCTTTTGTGTTCCCCTCGAGATCGGACAGAGCTCTGTCTGAGCAGGAGGCAGATCCTGCAGAGTAGGTGGCGCCTGCCGTTGGGCTGGCGGCTTGGCTGCAGGACGACCTCGGGGGCCGCCTGGGGCGGGGTGGAGGGGGCAGGAGACCACACAGGTGCCAGTGATGGAGGAGGCTTAGCGCCAGAAGGGCCACAAACTGTCCCCTTCCAGCCTCTTTAGAATAGGTTGCTGTCTCACTTGAAAAGGGGGAACAGACTTGGTCTCAAATGAAGCTGTGCCCAGTCAGAAGCCAGGCTCAGGGTCTTCTTGGGAGATTTTTATAGAGCCCTTAAAAAATAAAAATAAAAACTTGTATTTCTCATCCCTTTTTTCCATTAAATAGTTTTTTCTCTAGTTTACAATGACATGATCAAGGGGTTTCCTCTTACTTTTTGATGCTTAGACTACAGATAGACTTGAGCTCCTGGAAGGTACAAGGAAGAACTCCTTGTTTGTGCAAAGCACTTTATGAATAATTTGTACAGATAGTGTGCGGCTGCTTCACGGACGATCCTGTAAGGTTGGAGTTCCCTGTCTTCCTTAAAGTGGCTGCAGTGCCTTCTATAGTGTATTTTCTTTTGGGTAAGAAGAGGTGAAGCCTTCTGAAAAATTTGAGAGCAGACGTAAAAGATTGTCTCAAATTATGTAGTATTCCCAGTGGGCTTTTTTGTCATCAAACTAGAGTTTACGGTCTAGTACTTTTGCCACTGAAATAACATGGACCAAAAAGTAGTTTATAAAAGAGATTGTGACTAGAAAATCCAGTGTGCTCATTTGTACTTCTATGCACCTTAAAAGAAGATTCTGTCTAGCTGTCAAATTCTGGTTCCTGAACATCCAGTCCCCGCTTGCACTTAACAATCTTGTAGGATATACTGGGGCAGCCTAAAAGATAAAATGCCATATAACATACATGTTATATGTTATATGTATGTTGGTATTGGGAGAGAAAGAGCATTACACAGTTATAAAGGCAATCAGGACTTCAGCACTGTCCACCGGAAACTGTAAATACTTCCCACATTCTCCTCCGGTGTGGTCCTAGCTCTCTCGGCACCTGGTGTTCTCTCTCAGTCAGCAGCCGGTGCTGGAGCTGCTGCCCCCGCTCCCAGGACCTCACCTACCCCTCCTGTGCACTCGCTCCCCAGCCTTGTGCCAACCCCATCTGGCTTTAGTTGGAAGCACATTGCAGGGTTCAGGTGACCTCTTCAAAATACTACCTCCTCAGAATGAGGTAATGAATAGTTATTTATTTTAAAATATGAAAAGTCAGGAGCACTAGAACATGAAGATGATTTAAGATGTTAACTTTGATGTGTACTTATACTTGAGCCCTCTTATTTTGTCTTAAAGGGCATCAAGCCTTTCAGCAGTAGTACCGAAAGAGGTAGCTCTGAGTTTGGGAATGTTGTTGCAAGTCGTGCCAGCATCTGTGGGGTACGTTTCAGAATCTTCACCTTAAGTCAGCAGCATGAAATTAAGTAGTTACGGTAACAGTTCACTAACAGTGATAGAACTTTAGTCTTCAGTAGGCTTGGCAGGACCATCTTCATGATGAGTTAGTCGTAGCTCCATCACGTGCACAGACACTCCTATCGAGAGCCTGCCCAGCTAAAAGGGTAGAATGATTCCACGTGATTCTCTTCTTTGTCCATGTTGGCATTGTTAGCGCTAGAAAATCAGCACCTTGGGACTAGCAGATTCCAACCATTAGGCTATTAAAAAAATAAATAAATAACCTGATATGGAGAGTTTACTGTGAGTGTAAACAGCAAATCGCTTACAGGTCATACATTGACTTGTATAGGTGATGCTCTAGAAGAATACCTTGACAATTTGCCAAATGATCTTTACTGTGCCTTCAAGATGCAATAAAAAAAAAAAAAGCTTAAATTTTAGCAGAAATCAGTGATTTGCAAAGAGAGCAGCCACTCTGGTCCAATCTGTGTTAATATTTTTTAGAGTGCAATTTAGACTGCAGAGACAAATGCACTAAAGGGTTTATAGCCAAAATCACATTTAAAAAAATGAGAAAACACACAAGTAAATTTTCAGTGAACAAAATTATTTTTTTAAAGCACACAATCCCTAGTAGAGTCAGATATATTTATCACATAGAGCAACTAGGTTGAAAATTACAGTTCAGTGACATTTCTAGAGAAACTTTTTCTACTCCAATAGGTTCTTCAAAGCATGGAACTTTTATATAACAGAAATGTTTGACAGACATTTTAAAGAATTGCTATAGTTTGGGGGTTCAGAAGTACTATATGCTGGACCGCAAATACTTCTTAAGAGTGAGAAGGAAGAAACTAATGTAGAGGACAGAATTGGATTTTATCAGTTTCAAGAGTACTGCTGCGAACCTCAACAGTGATTTTTCAGAGTCTAAAATGTAAACTTGCCTCCCAGGATGTGTTTACAAAATAAGTGGGACTGTCCTGCTAATGCTGTTCAGGGTGCTCTGGAGACCAGACGGGGTCTCTGGGGCCCCTTTGGAGGGGGCGTTGGAATAGTTAATGACGTGGCTGGTGTGTGACTGGACACACTCCATGGTGTGCTTTTTGTATCTCGCTGGCATTTCTTGCCACCCCGGGGAAGGGCAGTGTACTGTCTTCAGCAAGTTCTCTACATGTTTTTCTGCGTTGTATTGCTGACGCCCGTAGGTTGGTGAGCACCCTAGGAGGACAGTGGCATCTCCGCCTGATTTCATATATTGGCCAGAGGAGAATGAAGGGGCCAGTGTATTGCTAGCTCTGGTAGAATTGAAAACACTGGTAGGATTTTTGTTTTATCAGCACACTAGAGAGTAAGCTCTTTGTTGTTTTCAGATAGCTTATTTTCACTTTTCAGGCAAAGACAATGAAGTTGAAATTTTGTCCTAAATTTTGCCAGTGGTGGAAAGGGTAATTAATGGTTTCTATCAAGATTTTTAAGGTAAAGGAGGACAGAATCGTTAAGTCTTAAAATCTTAAGATTTTATCTTAAGATCTTAAATCTTAAAAAGTAAGGTTAACAGTGCTTTAACATGCATATGGATGGTTCGTCCTCACCTCAAAGTGATTACGTAGATCTTTTATTTCAACATCCACAACTCAAGCTGTTAATTTTTAGTCCTTTTTTAATTTAATTATTTTACCCTTTGACTCCCTTTATCCAACTGTTAGTTTTATTAATTACTAAATTAGTTTTCTTAAAATGTTTAATTTTATTAAAATACATAATTTTATTTAACAAAATTCTGTTTTGACTAATTACAGTGATATAACCAGTTATGTGTGAGGACACAGCCAGTGTATCTGTGTGTGTGTGTGTGTGTGTGTGTGTGTGTGCTTGAGGGGTTTGTTTTTAAGAATTTTATAGATTGATGAACTCTTGGCAAACAACGAAAATCTGTTTATTCGCGTTAGTATCAAAAACAAGACTTGTGCGAACCACTGCTGGTCTCAGGCAGGCTGAGCTCCCTGTCCCGCACTCCTGATCAGCTAGCTGTCCTCACGGTCTGTAGGGAGCTGGGAAGGGCTCCGTTTACAGGGTGGGGATGGGGGATTGTAAGTTGCTTAGTACGAGTTTGCGTTGAAAATTATTCTGTGTTGCATTTGTGTGTTAAGCCTTTTTTTAACCCACATGTATCTTGGTGGAAGAAACTTCAGACTAGCGTAAGCAACAAAGCTCACAGAGTAGGCACAAATGTAGAGAAAGTGGACCAAAATGGGAGGTGGGAGGGTGTGGGCGTAAGTCTGGGGCTAGGGGGAAATTGATGTGACAGTGGGAAATAAACTATAATTACCTGAAATAAAATGTAAGAGTGCAATAAGTGTGCTTTTTATTCTAAGCTGTGAACAGTTTAAAAAAAAAAAAAAAAACATTCCTTCCTAATACATTTGTATATGTTCCATAGCTGATTAAAACCAGCTATGTAAACATACAACGCCTTTTTATTCATGTTAATTACCAACATAAGTGGCTAACCTTATGTCTTATTTATCTTCATGTTGTATTAGTTTACATATGGAGTGTGCGTGTGTGGGTGTCTGTCTGTGTCTGTGTGTGTGCTGTACCCTTTCCCTCCTTCATTTGGAAACGCACTCATTGGGTCCTCTGTTCTTCCTTTGGCCATGCCACAGGTTATGGTCTTGATTTGGCCTTCATGATATTGCGGGATTTAAAGGACTCTTAT